TGTGTGTGTGTGTGTGTGTGTGTGAGTGCGCATGTATGCTTTGTGTTTTTCTATAAGCACATTTATTATAGTGTTACAATAATGATATGTCGTAGGCTTATATACACCAAGTCAAGCTGAAAAGAGGTGGAATTACTTAAAGGATTGTTATAGGAAAGCCAAAAAGTTATTTAAGGAACGACAAGCTCTTCAACAAAAAAGTGGCGCAGCTGGTGTATCGAAATCAGAAGCAATCATGCCGTCCTTTCGTCATTATAATTTAATGATTTTTTTAAATGATACCTTAGAACATCGACAGTAAGTCAAATAATTGCTCGATTAATAATTGTTAATTGCAATGATTATGTTACAATTATAATTATTTCGTAATTTTTATTTCAGAACTGTGACTTCTTTGAAATTGACACCAGATGATCAACAAGCATCTACATCAACAGCAAACATAGATGATTTGTATGACGTGCGATCAAGTGTAAACAATGACACTTTGGAATCCAGATCATTATCTCCATCTTCAGACTCCACTCCAATATCAGTGACATCAAAAAGTATAAAATTTGTTCATTACATTTACAAATATTAAATACAAGTGTTGAAATATGAACTAATTTATGCTTTGTTAACAGAAAGAAAGAAATCTATTTGTTTGGATAAATATGAAGAAGCTCTTGTAGAAGCGTTGAAAAAAACAAAGGAGCCAAGCCCGATTGATGGATTTGTACTACGTTTAGCTGAAGGTTTACAGAGACTTTCATATAAACAAAGGTTAAAATTAGAAATAGAAATTTTAACGAAACTCTACGAAATTGAAGAGTCAGGAGAGGTTTAAACAGAAGAGCTTATATTCAGAAGATCTTTTTATAACTCGTAATGTAATAAAAAGGCTCTTAGATATTTCTATAGCTATTTGAAAACTACGACATGAAAAACAAAATAATTATATGATTGTTTTGCTATTCATATCGAAAAATAATTTAGGTTTTCTGCATATACACTGCTCAAAAGAAA